CATGATGGCGGCACGAGCGTAAGGACAGGGTGGGGAAGAGCTTCTTGGACAGATGGACAAGTGTTCAAGGTCTAGAGTGAAACCCACCAGAAAGTTCTTACCGTTCCCAGGAGTACCCTCCTGTGTCCAGGATGGGCTACAGCCACAGTTCTAAGTGATGGAGAAAGAGAGACAGGGAGAGGGAGGGCCTGTGCCCAGTCCTCCCCAAGGCATGATCTACCCAGATTAAAGAACAGAGGCTACGGAAAGGCCCCTCCCAGCTTGGGACACCCCCATGAATCATTTTCTTATCATCCCTTACTGCTATAATAGCATAGTTGCCTCTTCCTAATCACTGTTTTTGACCCCAACTTGGCCCAACACCCATAGTAAGAAGGCTTGAACAAGGCTGAAACCATGGAGGAAATACCCTGAAGTCTCCATCTCTGGCCCTGCTCCCCTGAACCCTGGGAGTCCTAGTCTCTAGCAACGGCTTACCAGCATGCAGAGTCCAGAGTTTTGGCTCTCAGACCCCTCCCTTTGTTTACTGCCCATCTTCTATCCCCGAGCCGCCTTGTCTTCTTTTGTGTTCTCTTTACACCTGTATCTTTTTCTTCCCACTTACATCTCTATCTTGATTGTCCTGCTCTGGACCTCAATTTTCTCACTTGTAAAATGGGGGTAATAATAATAATAATAATGGCAACACTAACGATGCTCCAATCACTTAGAACTTTGAGGAAAACACGGAATAATTATGTGAGATGCTGAAATACAGAACCCTGGCCACAGTAAATTCAGGGCCAGAGAACTGTTATTATTGCTTTATTATTTCTAATCTCTTCTTTGATATCTTTGTTTTTCTTCTTCCATGTCTCCATGTTATTCTCAAGTCTCCTCCCCTGCCCAGCTCCTTTTGTAGGAAGCTTTGCCCCTGGCTTCCTTGGCAGGGACACAGGTGGAAATGACATCCAGACTAAGAGATCCCCCCTCCCACCTCCCTTCTAGTCGGGGCTCCACCTCAGACTCAGAAAACTTGCCTAGGGGCAAGGCACAGCACCAACCCCACAAACAGCCTCATAACACGCTGAAACCCAGATCTGTCATCCAGAGGAGGTAAATCACAGTGACTCACGGGAGCCTGGAGTTCAGAGTCCTGGACCCCAGTCTCTGAGATTTCTAATTCTTTGGACACAATTAGGTTTCTTATTCTCAGACACAAAGACCCTGACGGCTAATTTCTCCTTTCTCGGGTCCTAAGTCCCCAGATCCTTTCGGGATCGAGGAGTGTGACTTCTTTCCCCAAGACCCAAGGGCTGTTGGGAATGGATGGCTCAGACCTGGGATCCTAAGCACTTTGGAGGCTAAGGCACATCAGAGAGCACTCTGAGTAACACAGTGAGTTCAAGGCCAGACTGTGCAACTAAAAGGGCTGAGGTTCAGTGCCCGGTAGTAGAGACCTTGCCTGACATACGAAAAGCCCTGGGTTCTAACCTCAGTACTGGAAAAAAGAAGAGGGAGGAGAGGAAAGAAAGTAGAACGCTTGAAAACACCTCAGGTAGCAGAGGCCCAAAGCTCTCTCTATTCTTGGCCGTTCCGACTACGCCTTCAGCCGCCTCGCCTCTCTACAGAGGAGGACCTGACACTTCTTCTGGGTGCTTTCCCGAATGGGCGGGGCTGCACTCCATGTAGGACAGCGATAGGCTCCCAGAGACGTCATTCTCCGTTAGTTTCGGCCAATCTGCCAATAGACAAGGAACCTGCCCCATAGGGATCGGTTCGGTTCGGCTAAAGGCCTAAGGTACTTGTGAGGGAACCAGCTCTCCTGGTTGGTCCAGGTAAGTCCTTTCCAGAATGACTAGTACTGGGATTCTGCGTACAGCCTGGTGGGAAACAGCCGGCCTTGCAGTGGAGGGGATAAGGGGGCTTAGTCAGGGCGCCACTGGAGAAACTTGAGTTCAGGGATGTGCAACCTCTAAAATGCACCCCTCGAGTCTACCTTCCTTGGCTGTCCTGCGCGTCCCTCCGTTCACTTCCTGCCATCATGAATTCACTCACAGTTCCTTCGTAAAGTCATCCGCTCACTCAGCGCTCACTCATTCACTCACTCATTACTTTAAGCAAACTTTTCCTGGCTTTCTGGTGTGCCAGGCCTGATGCTGGGGACTGTGGTGATCAAGATGAGTCAGACGTGGGCCCTGCCTTCCAGGGACACCGGGTCAGAAGGGACCACAGGCATTGATGGTAGAGGGTGTGAAGGGGTGGGGAGGCACAGGAATATTTTGTGTGTGTGTGTGGGGGAGCGGGAGTTGCCATGGTAGGAAAGAATTTCCAGAGGGGCCACTGGAGCTGACTCTTGGAAGAGCACTAGGTGGCAGCAGAGGTCGTGAGAGGGTTTCAACCTATGCAAAGGCAGGGAGGCCTAGAGGTGCATTAATTACCACGCTTAGGTACCCAAATAGAAGACTCATGCTGCCCTCATAACCACCAGGGGAGCCGCAAGGGTGGAAGAGGGTAAGGGAGTGGGCAACAGCCAGACTGAGGAACTGAACTGTGTGTGTGTGTAAAACCATTGACTGTGTTAGTGCCAGGGTAGTGCTAGCTAGCCCATCTCTGACTGGGCTAGGTCAGAACAGGAACCAGAGCTCGAGGTGTCATTAGACCAGGAGGTGGCTCTCTTCAGAGCCTAGGTAGAATAGGGTGGAGCCTGGACCCAGGCAGAGGCTGAGACAGGAGGTAGAGGCAGGATGAGTGGTGGATGATGGGCCAGGAGGACAAAGGGGTTTCCAAGACAAGACTCGGGGACTCTTGTTCATCCTAGGAAGCCATCCATACTTGCTGAACTAGGAGCAGAATGGAGGCGTATTTAGTGCATGGATAGAAATCCTTTTGGGAATTCTAGGTTAAGTGTTTTTTTTCCAGGGTCTCATTCTGGACCATAGTTTGGGGCCAGCCTGGACTACATAATGACCTTACTATTCACTGTGTAACCCAGAGTGGCCTCAAAGTCCTGCTAGAGCCTTCCACCTGTTATAGATATGAGCCACCATGCCTGTCTTTCTATGTCAGGTTTACCTGGGTAAACCCCCTTGAGGGAGGGAGTTCCCTGCTACCCTCTCCTTGAGGGAGGGAGTTCCCTGCTACCCTCTCCTTGAGGGAGGGAGCTCCCTGCTACCCTCTC